ACAAAAAATTGTTATAAGTATGTTTTTTTTTATCTTAGAAATGTTTATAAACTTGATTAGAATATTATATATAGCTTTATCAGAACAAGATAGCAGATTGCTGTGATATTAACTGGTAGAATATTGTTGAGTACGGTTAAACCTGAATACGGATTCATTATTACATGGACAGAAGGGAGTTTCATAGATTCCAAGCTTATGCAGATGCTTTGAAAGAGACCTTGGTTAAGTTTTAACCGAGTTATCAATGAGGAAAGTACTTTATTATAGTTAAAGATGGGGAATATTAAGCATGGATGAGTAGAAAGGTAATGGTTTCTTAGAGTCTGCTGGATCTCTTTTATATATTTTTCCTTTAGTGTATAAAATGAAAAGTTTGATCTCCTTCTTCTTCTGCTTTTTATGTAGATATGACTCTGTCTGTTGTATTTTATTTATTGTCATTTAGCTTATATGATCGTTTCATTTTACTGTTTTATTTCTTACCCAGCTTTGATATTCTTTACCTTGTATCTACGTCGAATATCTGTACTTCTAGCTCTGTCCCATAGCGTCTTGTCATCAATTTTCTAAGTGTTTTCATCTCTGCTGTTTCTAACATCTTTTTTGTCCTCTCAGTGTTAAGTCGTGTTTCTGCCGAGTATGTCAATATTGGTCTGATGAATGTTTTGTAAATTCTGCCTTTCATTTCTTTCCCGATATTATTATTTCTCCATATTTCTCCATATTGTTTCATTCGGGCAAACTGCGGCTCTGTTTGCTTTACTTACTTGATCTCCCACTTCAGTTTCGAGCTTTCCTTAGTTATATAATGTAACGACTAGATATTTATACTCCATCACTTATTCTATTATCTGACCTTTCAGCTCCAATTTACATCATAGTAAATTTGCTGTTGCAACCATGCATTTTGTCTTTTTTTGGGTAAATTGACGTGTTAAATTTTCTGGTGGTTATGTTAAATTGGTGCAGCATACGTTGTAAATCAAACGTTGGTAAATTAAAATGCGTTCCTCTAAAGCCATTCCTATAAAGCCCTCTACATTTTCTGAAATCTAAATTTTCGTCACTTTCTAAAAACTCAAAATTTAAGAAAAAATTACCCTTTACCTATTTAATACCTCACTCATTAAAGTTAAAATTAAAACTGCCATAATTTTGGTTCTCGTCCAATTAAAGGCTTCCTTAAACGCTTGAAATTATGGTTTTGTTATCTATTTTAGTCATGCGTTCAGGTCAAACGACTTCAAACATGTGGTCATAGGGGTACCTATTATCTTTTTATCTTTTAGTACGTTTAAGTTACGCCACTGATACGTGTAGTATCATTTCATTAACAAAAGAAAATGGCAGTAAAATAATCAGAGTCTATTAACCTATTTTTAATGCACTGGTACGACTTTTACAAAATACAAATAAATCTAAGCCAGATTAAAACGAATATGGGTATATTGCTGAAGAAATCTGTGTTGCATAAGTGAAATTAATTCATAAAAAACATGGAAAATCGAACAATATGTTATAATGGGTTTGTTGTTCTATTTAACACTGTTTATGTAGAAGAGATTTATTAAAGATTTAATTTTTGTAATAGGTGTTTATAAATATTTACATACATATCTTTTTTCTTTGGATATGCAGCGTGTAGGTGTCATGCTGGTTGTCGAATCCATATGAAAGCCTTTTCTAATTATTGTTCTAATATTAGATATGCCCACTAGTTTTATTAAGTTTCTGAACTGTAAATATTTTTGCATCAATTTTAAATTATTAATAGAAATACTATTTATTTTATATATAATGTCCGGTTTATAGCATCCTGTGCAATCCTGGTCGTAGATCTCTATCTGACATTGATTTTTGGACTCCCTCAAGCCATGATGATTTTGGCCTTCCTCGATTTTTCGCTCAGGTTTAGCTTTATGTTATAGCTACGGATAACGATAATAATAAGCCTGGTACATCATTATTACGGGTTTATCTTTCACCAGAACGGAAAGACGAACTCCAAATCTCGGACTTCGTAAGCAATAATCATGATGATTTCATAAAAGATCCAAACTATGAATCAGATTTTAGTAGCTCTAGTTCGTCCTCTTCTTTTACATCAAGTGATAGTTCTAGCTCAAGCATTAGTCCAGGTTGCAATGGTTTCTTGTCGAATTCACACAATGTAATCTAGGTAGCTGACATTCTACTTGTGGACTTTCAAGCAGTAAATACTTCAGCAGCAAGCATTTAAGTACCAGACGTTGAAGTTGCAAACACTATAGCAGCAAACTTACAAGGATCAGGACCTGAAGTACCAGATACTCAACTAGCAGACACCCAACCAGCAGACACTCATCCAGCAGACACCAAAATTGTTAGTCCTATAAAAAGAGGGAAAAAGCGAGTAGCAGTGGCAGAAAACTGGTTAATTATCAAAGCTAAGAATTACGAAAATCTGGCCAAGCATATACCTCAAGATCTAAATCACAAAAACCTATTGTTTTCAGGAGTATCAGACCTGCTTGTGGAGATAAATGCCGGCTAAAGGCTCTAATAAAATAGATGAGAATACCAGGAAAGATATTTTGAATAAATATTGGGCCCTGAAAAATATAAATAGACAGAGGGATTTTATTCACAAATGCATGAAACCAGTCAAACCAGCGTACAGGTACAGCAGTGCAGAGAGGCCTAGACAACATAAAAATGCATACTATTTTCATATAAATAATAATGAGTATAATAAGGAAGTTCGCGTATGCAAATACTTTTTTATGGCTACGCTAGATATCAACAATCGAATTACAAGAACGATCGTTGACAAAGCTAAAAAGGGTTCCTGGAAGTAAACTTAAGAGGCAAACACAAAAACTATAAAAAGTGTATCCATCGATTAAAGACGGAGTTCGTGAGCATATTCGATCGATTCCTCCTATTGAGAGCCACTATCTTCGCAAGCAAACCAATAGGGAATACATCGAAGGTGGAAAAAATTTAACTGATATATTTAATGACTATAAACAAAATTGCCAAAAAAACAATCTACCGCACGGAAATTTAGTGATGAAAATTCTAACACAGAGTTTAACATTAGTTTCTTTATACTCAGAAAAGATCGCTGTGAGTTGTGTGATGCGTATGAAAATGTTATAGAAGCTAAGGAAATATTGGAACACAAGTATGTCTTACATTTGGAAGAAAAAGATTTATCGAGAAAAGAAAAGGACCAAGAAAAGGCGAAGGCTAATCCCAATTACATTGTATCAGTCTATGACTTGCAAGCAGCCGCAAGGAACTGTATCTGTTTTTTATTAAAAATTGAAGTTGAATTGCTACAACTTTACGATGTCTGATTTGAAAACTGGTTCAACTGAATGCTACTTTTGGCATGAAGAGCATGGAAATGGGGAGAGGAATGAAATAGATTCATGTGTACTTATCTTCACAAAAAAAAACTGGGCACTTCTAATAATGAAGCTGGGCTTAACTTCGTTTTCTTTTCAGATAATTGTTGTGGCCAACAAAAAAATAGATTTTTAGTTACTATGTATATTTATACTCTGGGTAAATACTCTAAAATTGCGAATTAACTAATGATAATGCCGCCAAACAAAATTTAATTGATTTGTTCGTAAATAAATTAAAGACGAACGTAGAAAGTTCGGTTAATTCAACACCAGTTAAAACAAAGACAAATACTGCTTAAGTAGTATGAAGAAGTTTTAACTTCCGAAGAAGTTTTGATGTGACTAAGTCAAGAAGAAGAGAGAAAAAAAATTAAAGTTAAAAAACAAAAAATAGGCAAAGAAGATAAAACTCCACAAACTAGAACAAAGAAAAAGGTTCTAAAGAAAAATATTTCGGAAAGCGAATCTGATACCATCGAAGATTTGGAAAAAGAAATGCAAGAGAATATGAGACATGGGCCTGGTAATTTTTTTAAAAGAGATGTTAGTTCGTCACAGAAAAATACGTTTGAATTAAGGCGAGAAAAAGGGCAGCGGAAGAACGGATTGCAACAGATAAGCCATCCACTAGTAATATTTCCCAACTATCAGACTGCAATGATAGTTGCCAAGATTTACTTAATCGGTATTTTACAGTAACAACTTCGAAAACATGGTACGTTAGTCTGGTATTGGAAATGTTTTCCGATAAAGAAGTGAAAATGACATTTTTAGATCGATAAGGAATTTCTTGTAGATGGCCAATGCTTCTAAAGATTCAGAATGTAGCGGTAAAATCAATTATAATGGAGGTATTTACAGAGGCCAAAAATCCCGTAACATTATACCTTTTATTAAGGATATTGAACAAGCCTGGAAAGGGTCGAAAATGTCTCACAAATAGTAATGTATTTATTTAATTTGTTCGTTTTAAATTTAGTTAATCACTTAGTTGGCAATATACCGTTTAATTTCTGAATAAACTAGTAAGAGAAATTATCGATTTTATTATTTTTTTATATGCATTAAATGATAAGCTTTTGTCCTCGTTTGCCCATTTTATTTTATAGGTGAGTTAAATTGGGAAAAAAATGCAGTGTTCATTTACCCCGTACACTGAGGTAAATGAGGATATTTTTGACTTAGGATTTAAATAAAATTATACAGTACTTGCTTTACACAAATATATGTTGAAAGTCATAATTTCTTAAAGGATTATCTCTCCTCGATCAGATAAAAATATACGAAAAATTGAATCACACTAATAGTTCCCAAAATATCTTAATATATTTGAAATTGAGATAAGTGTCCCCCATTACCCCTACTGACATGAGGGGTAAACTAATAATTTGATTTATATCACATCAGAATACAAAATTAGAAATTCATTCGTTTAAAAAATATATTTTTTCCCTAGATTTAAAATGAATATTTATTCATTTTTTATTGAGACAAAATTTTTTCTTTAAATACAAATCATTTATTATCGAACACAGTTGATGGTTTTTGTTTTAACAAGCATAAAATTGTTTAAAAATAATAACTATTGATTATATAACTTACCAAAAAGCGCAAGCGCCACCACACAAAAAACCGTCTTCATTTTCCTGAGTCGAACGAACCTTTCACAACTGACCGTACCTACTAGCGAATGCCAAATACAAACACTGGCTCTTTGCCGGCAAAAGACTTCTTCCTCACTGAAGATATCTTGTATGTTCTTCCTCTTTTCAAACGGGCGACTCATCGACTGGCCAACTCACTGCTTTGAAAGTGGTACCACCACCATCGCCAGTTGGTACCAGCGTCCTTAAGAATTATAATAAATGATTTTCTTAATATTCCCAGAGCATAGTTGGTGAGTTAAGAGGATGATATTTAAATATGTTAAATATTTCTACAGTCATATAATATGTACATTATATGAATGTGTTATTTTTAATGTATAATACAAGATCTTTTTACAATCACTTTAAAAACTATTTGTTTTCTTAAAATTCCATTTTAATTGTTGAATATTGGCTATATTATAAGAATTAGTAAATGAAAAATTACAAAGCCAAGCAGAAGGGTAGAAATTCCGACTATTATCTTGTATTTGGAACAATTCGAATACTATCGATCAAAGAAGACAAAGAATTTAAGATCACTCAGGCAAAAATAAGTATGTATGTATGTACTTATTCCTCCTCCTCCTTAGTCCTAATCCCTTTTGGGATGTGATGTCACCATCTGGCCTTTACAGTTTTTTCACGATTTCCCTCCATCCTTCTCTGTCTTGGGCTAGTTGTTCGGCTTCATGTAACCCTTGGTTAATCAATGTTTTTGTTTGATCTACCCAACGGCTTGGAGATCTTTCCCTAGGTCTCTTTATTTCAACTCTACCGTCGACTATCAGTTTTTCCATCGTACCTGCTCCTCTAGCAATGTGTCCAAAATACTGCAAATATCTCTGTTGTATTTGTTTAAGCAATCTATCGGCAAATGCGGTATACCCACATTTCAAAAGCGTTTAGTTTATTTTTATCCGCTTTGTTTAAAGTCCACGTTTCGAATGCATATGTGGCTATGGGAAAAATGAGTGCCCTTACCAGCATTAGTTTTATGTGTTTTGTTATACTACAATTTTTACAAATTGTTACCAGTTTCATCATAGCTGTTCTAGCAATAGTCAACCTTCTACGTATCTCTCTGTCACAACCTCCGTCATTTGTTATTAGGGACCCCAGGTATATGAAACTATTTACTACTTCAAAGCCCCCAATTTCATGAATGTGTTAAAAATTATTCCGAGCTCTGTCTATTATCATGATCTTTGTCTGACTCCTATTTCGTTTTAGTCCCTATGTTTTGCTTTTCTCCTCCAGACATCTCATTATGTCTTCCATTATCATATCAGCATATCTTAAGTTATTTCCGCCCTGCCATCCATCTAGTACCTTTCGTATAATGTGTTCGCTTAGATATTAAACAGAATTGGCGAGATTATGCATCTCTGCCTGACACCTGCATCTGTTCTGAAATGATCGAAATGGGTGTTGTTTATTTTTACTGTGCACTTATTATTTTTATATAGACTTCTAATTAATTGAATTATGTGGTGGGATGTTCCCATTTCCGCTAGTATGGACCCTAGCTGCTGCCATTTGACTTTATCGAAGGCCTTTGTGTAATTCACAAAGCACATAAACATATGAGTATTGAATTCACGAGTTTTTTCGATTAGCTGTCTGACATTAAGGATGTGTTCTCTTGTGCCTTTTCCTGGGACAAATCCCGCTTGTTCTTCTGATATGTGAATCAGTATAAAGAAATAATGAGGATGTATGGAAAACCACTAATTACGGCAAAAATACCAAAGAGCTAGTCACTTGGTCACATTATACGAATGCCTGAGAGTCGAAATGTTAAAACAATACTTAAGCAGTAAAAAATTTGGAAAAAAAGAAGAAGACGTCCAAAGAAGAAATGGTTCAGTGGTAATATGCTCATATTATAATGATTGGAAAGCCAGGTAAATTGCCTATAGAACCTTTTGGCTATCGTTCGATAAGTTTGTTTCCTTTGATGTCCAAGATATTTGAAATCATCATCATCAAATAGCCTCTAACGTCCACTGCTGAACATAGACTTCTCGCTTGCTTTTCCACTTAGTCCGATTTTGCGCCATCTGAATCCAATTTGTAGTCACTCTTTTTATGTCATCTGTCCATCTCGTTGGGGGTCGACCTCTATTTCTATTAGCTGGTATTCGGGGTCTCCATTCCAAAATTCTTTTTCTCCACCGGTCATCAACTGATCTTGCTACATGACCTGCCCAGTTCCACTTTAGTGTTGTTATCCTTTCAATAACGTCTGCTACTCCTGGTCTTTCGCGTATAGTAGCATTGGGTATTCTATCACGTAGAAAAATCCCTAACATTATTCTCTCCATTGCCCTTTCCGCAACTTGTAGTTTACTCACTGTTGCTCTTGTGAGTGTTAGAGTTTCTGCGCCGTAGGTCATCACTGGCAAAATACACTGATTAAATACTTTTCTTTTCAGACACATTGGAATCTTAGACCCAGTATCTTCATTAAGTCTTACACAGGATGTAGCATGCTGATAGATGTATCTGATGAGGGATATGTATCGGTGATCTATTCCACATTGTGTTAGAGCTTGGAGCATTTCACTTTGATTGACCATATCAAATGCTTTTTCAAAGTCGACAAAGACAAGTATCAGGGGTCTATTATATTCAATGGTTTTTTCGATTAACGACTTAATGGTTTGCAAATGATCATTTGTTCCGTATCCAGCTCTAAATCCTGCTTGCTCGCAAGGTTGATAGAAGTCTAGTTTTGATGTTAACCTATTAGTTATTATCTTCATAAATAACTTATAAACGCGAGATAACAAGCTAATAGGTCTATAGTTCTTTAGCTTTGTTATATCTCCCTTTTTGTGCATGACTATTATAACGCTTTATTCCACTGAGATGGTGTGACCTCTTTTGAAAGGCATAAGTTATATAATTGTGTAATTGCTTTCAATACTGTCTTTCCTCCTGATTTAACTGTCTCAATAACGATTTGGTCATCAGCAGCTGCTTTATTGTTTTTCATTCGATTTAATGACTTTGAGACTTCTTCGATTGTTATTTCTGGAAAATTCTCTGAACCCACATTCTGGACTTTTCTCAACTTAGTGCCGTCTTTCTTACCCTTTTCTTTATATAATTCTGTGTAAAATTCTTCAACTACCTTAATTATCTTATTTTTATCTGTTACCACTTTTCCATTTCGATCTACGAGCTTAGCAATATTCTTCTTACCTAGAGCTTGACATCTCTTCAGCACCTTTAAACTTTTATTTTTCTCGACAATAGTTGTAATATTTTTGTGTTATATTGTCATACGTCCTTTCTCACTGCTTTATTAATATCTTTATTAAGTTGTAGTACGCGTGCATTCGTATGGTTTTTGTTCTTAAGTTCTCTTCGTGTCTCCATTAGTCTTTTTGTCTCTTGACTGATTTTTCCCTCCTTATCTCTCCTAGGATTTGTATTGCACTTTTTTTCTGCGTTTTTAATAGCTTTTATTAAGTTATCATTTAAGGTTTCGACATCCATAATGTCTATATTTGTTGTCTCAATCAATTTCATTTTTGGTGACTCCATCTGGACTTGCCCAGGTCCATTTTCTTTGGGGACTTTTTTTGAAAAAGCTATTCATTGCAAAGAGGCCATTTCGTACCAAGAAACCCAAAAACATTTCGCCTCTTTCATTTCTTTGTCCGAATCCGTAGGAACCTATTGAAACTTCGGTTTCGTCCAGTTTACATCCCAACTTAGCAATAAAGTCACCCATTACTAGGTTGTGTGTAGTAGGCGCCAGTTTTACTGCATTTTTTAGGTCTTCATAAAAGGTTTCCACTTCCTCGTCTGAGTGTGTAGATGTAGGTGCATAGGCTTGAACTATTTTAAGGCTGGTTTTTTTGTTAAGCTTCAGCATGCAGACTATTATTCTTGGATTGATACCTTTAATTTGTTGGATATTTTTAGTGTGTCTCTTATGTATAAGAAGTCCAACTCCTCCTATCCTTTCCTATGTTGCCCATACAGAATAGTTGATGCCCTGATTTAAGAGTTATACAGTCTTCTTCTTGGCGTCTTACTTCACAGAGACCCATAACGTCCCATTTTATATGTTTTAACTATTTTTCTAATTCCAGTAATTTTTCTTCAGGTGACAGTGTTCTTACATTGTGCGTGGCGATATACATTTGTCGTCGTCCGTAGTAGCCTGATCTGACCCGGGGATTTTTCGCACCCTCTATTTGCTGTCTTTCTTGATCGCTACCTTGACCAAGGATCAGCTCACTGCCGGGGACTGAGGGCCGTGTTTTTGTCGTGTTAAGCATGCTTGGATTTTAGCCATACTCTACCGCGCTGGCCAGTGCGAGTTGGTAGAGAGTAGGATGAACGTGGGAGTTTTAAAAGGGAGAGATATTTGAAAGACTCCGGCTAAATAGAATAAGCGAAACTGTACCACTCGAGTACATAATACCCAAACATCAATTTTGGTATTATATTCTCGAGTGGTATTATACAGTTTTGCTTATTCTCTTCAGTTCTTATAATCAAGAAAAGTTTGGAAGAAAAGACTATGTGTGCTTCAGTATTTCTCGATATTCAGCAGGTTTTTGATAAAGTCTGGAACCAATCCAATCCAGAGTTCCTTAGGGAAGTGTCTTCGGTTTGTTCCTGTACCTAATCTTTACTGCTGACATACTTATTACAGACGAGGTCACAGTGGCGACTTTTGCCGATAAGAGAGCCGTTTTAGTTTCAAACAAAAATCCAGACAAAGCATCTGAAAAGTAGTAAAATGTACTGTTTATTAGTAGATTGTAAATATGCATTTAAAAATAAAAAAAAATTGCAATATATCCTTCGTTTGATCATCTTTTAACTCTTTTGTTCTGAAAACTATATTATATCTGTCTTTAGAAAGTAGTAGTTGATACCACAAGTTGCTTCTCTACTTATTTTAACTTCTTAAACTCTCACCTTTATCGTCTAATTTTTTTGCTAACCATAATAATTTTTCGGTTAAAAAAACACAGTTTCTCTACACATAATTATTTTTAATTGTCGGATCTTAACATAACAATAAAAATAATATATTCATTTTTATTAATACAATAAAACTCTTATCTCGTTCTGTATTTAATTTAAAGTACATTGTTTGTTTATTTCGAACA